ACCATGAGGCCGGTCCAGAACTTCTCAGGGCCAGAACATGTACTGTTGGACACGTGGTGCGCAGTTTTTCAACATCCTCCCTTTGTTGTAGAAACTCTTTATTTTGACAGGACTGATGAGCTAAATGTCGTTTTTCATAATTTTTGCTGTGAACATTATTTTGAAAGGCAGGAATTTGACGTGCACGCTGAGCACAGTTCACAAGGGGTTAATGGTGACCAGGTTTGATGCCTTCTTTGGTCAACTGTTTTTATTTGTTCGTACCTGTTCTGCATCAGCTTGACAAGGTTAAACACACATTTCAGTGCAATGTCTTTTTAGATCTGAGCAACTGTAAGATGTGAAATAATGGTTTCATCTGTTCGTGTTTTCCAGGACCGGCCTCTTCTGTCTCCCAGAGTTCACTGCAAAACTGGAGAACTGCTCAATCCCTAAACCAGACTGTGAAATTCCAGAGATCCTGAGTGAAGAGCCAGTTTCCAAATCCCCGAGCCAGTCTTCTAACAGACCAAAAGATGAGAACGGTGTCCCTGAAAGCAGCACGCCCACTGCACCTCCACCCTGCCCCGTCCTCACACCGGTACCAGCTGGACAGACCCCTTACCCTCCTTATTTTGAAGGAGCCCCCTTCCCCCAGCCCTTATGGGTGCGCCACACCTACAGCCAATGGGTTCCTCAACCTCCTCCGCGACCAATCAAGAGAAAGAAGAGGCGGACGCGAGAACAGGGCCGCATGACCATAAGCACCATCCGTCTGCGACCACGGCAGGTCCTCTGTGAAAAGTGCAAGAACACACTGAATAGTGACGAAGACAGCAAAGATGGCACGAGCAAAACCTCCAGGAAGGAAAACGCCCCTCAGAGCGACGAGGACGGAGAGTTTAGGGACACTCCGGCCAAGTTGTCAAGAAAGGATGACATCACTGGACCCAAGGATGCCAAGAGACGTGAAAATGCCACCAGCCTGGACAGTAAACGCCTCAGAAAGGACAAACGGGGGGAGGCTGATGTGATCCCTCACAGTCCTGTTATTAAGATCTCCTACAGCACTCCACAAGGAAAGGGGGAGGTCATGAAGATCCCCTCACGGGTTCACGGTTCCATCAAACCCTTCTGCCCAAAGCAGCTAGTGCAAAATGGCAAAGGGTCCACTGACACCACCAAGGAGCAGCGGCACATTCTGGACGCGACTCGGTCTGGTCTTACTGTCTCTATTCCAAAACTCAAACTAACCAGGCCTTTTGCGACGGTCGGCAAGGACCCATCCTGTCCAAAGATCCGGTTGAGACCTCCTCAGAGTCAAGGCGAGGAGACAATGGTCGAGTATGAGGCAGAACTTGTTGAGGGCAGCACAAGACAAAGTCCCAGGGTGCCAGGACCATGTCTTCCTCACTCAGAAGACTCAGGAGAAGGAAAGAACTCCTTGGAATTGTGGTCCGGGAGTTCTGGAGAGGAGGCAGAGCGCAACCACAGCGACCTGACTCTCCTGATCAACTTCCGTAAGCGAAAAGCAGATTCTTCGAGCCTGTCCGTCTGCAGCAGCGACAGCTTGGACGAGTCCAAGTCCTTCAGCTCTGAGGGAACCTCACCTGAGCTCTGTGATCTGGCACCGGGCGAAGACCTCTCAGTCACATCATCCTCCATAACTCCTCAGGACAGCTGCAAGACGGTGCCGCCGCTGACGGTGCGGCTCCACACCCGCAGTATGACCAAGTGTGTGACAGAGGAGGGTCACGCCGTGGCGGTGGGTGACATCGTGTGGGGGAAGATCCACGGCTTCCCCTGGTGGCCGGCCCGAGTCCTCAGCATCAGCGGTGCCGGCAAGCAGGAGACAGCCCAGTGCGAGGCCCAGTGGCCCCAGGCCAAGGTGGCGTGGTTCGGTTCCCCCACCACCTCCCAGCTGTCTGTAGCCAAACTGTCGCCGTTCAGAGAGTTCTTCAGGTCCCGCTTCAACCGCAAAAAGAAGGGCATGTATCGAAGAGCCATCCTGGAGGCAGCGAAGGCCGTGGGCCACATGGGTCCAGAGATCACATCACTGCTGTCCCACTGCGACACGTAGGTAATCATCTCACCGGTAGGCTGTAAGTCCAGGCTAACATCGTAGACCCCTGGCAGCTCGTCTGAATGGATCCTGACCACCTGAACCAGGTTCAGAACAGTTTCAGCAGGTCTTCTAAAAGTCCCGCACCCCCACTGCCAATAGAAAGGGTTAAAGACAGCCTGTCAGATACCACCGAACGTTTAGGGAAGCAAATAAAATCACATGAATCCAATAATCAGCTGGAACAGAGACAAACATTTAAAATACAGCTGCTGTTTAAAGTTTTAGTGTTTGTGGGTTTGGTCCAGTCCATCCCATGGTTCCATGATTTAACAGATTTACGACTTGTTCGAACAACAGAGCTTCTTTAGAAACGAGCTATAAAACGACACCATGAAAGTCCTTCGGGACGTTTAGTTTCTTAAACATTATTGACACATAGACGTCGCCACTTTATTCACGCTGCAATGCATTCTGGGTAAATCAAGTTCAAGTTTATTGTCATTCACATCACATGTGGTACATGAGGTGGAACAAAATTGTGTACTCAAGGCCCCAGTTACATCCAAAATAGGAAAATTATAAAGTCTAAAAAGAAACGGTATACAAGGATCTAAGATATAAACTAAACACTGATCATGTAAAACATTATGGTGCATCAACAGCAGCCCGAACATGAGTCTGTGTGAGTAGATGGGTTTGAATACAGCAGCATGAGATCAGCAGCAGCATGAGATCAGCAGCAGCACAGATAAGTCACACTTCACCAGTTAAAGTAGCGTTACAGTGATTTTTTTTAACAGTAATTATTCTGGTTAGGGATTCATGAGTCTTAACAGCTTCAGGGCAGAAGCTGTTCCTCAGTTTAGTGGTTCTATGGTTCTAAATGGTTGAATCTGGTTCTAAATGATGAAGACGGGTTGCTCTGGTGTGAGCTTCATTTAGCTTGAATGTTAATTTGGACATCTGATGTTCAGCCCTTTAATTTGAACCAAAGCACATTGAAAGAGGAGAATGTAGAAATGACTTGGTTTCACATTATCTTCAGGGTTAATGTGCCTTATGTTAGCCCCGAGCTAATATAAATACACAACGTTAGCTTCGGAGCTCATGTTCATTCGTTTCAGTTCAATTCAGTTTATTTAAGTGGCGCTAATTCACAACAGAAGTCATCTCGGGGCATACACACAGGTGCTGGTCATAAAGTGAGAATATCATGAAAAAAATGGATTTATTTCAGTAAATCCATTCAAAAAGTGAAACTTTATTATATTCATCACACACAGACTGATATGTTTCAAATGTTTATTTCTTTTAATGTTGATTATAACTGACAACTAATGAAAACCCCAAATTCAATCTCTCAGAAA